TTTTTATATATTTTTCATATATACATATATATAATATATATGAATATATGAAAAATTGATGTGGGTACTCAAATAAAAAGTCTCGATGAGTGTAACATCGGGATGAGCTTATATCTTTAAAAATGTCAATACTTCACAAGATACAAGGTCGTTTCTTGATTATGTTAAATTGCACTGTACTTTTTTCACTATCGAAATTTTTAAAGATATAAGCTCATCCCGATGTTACACTCATCAAGAGCTTTCATTTGAGTACCCACATGCATTTTTGATATATATTTTTCATATATACATATATATATAATATACATAAATATATAAAATATATGAAAAATTGATGTTGGTATTCAAATGAAAAGTCTCGATGAGGGTAATATCGGGATGAGCTTATATCTTTAAAAATGTCAATAGTTCACAAGATACAAGGTAATTTCTTAATTTTTCTTATTTTCTTGATAATATAGAATTATAAAAATAAAAAAAAAAATTTGTCAGATTATAAAATAAAATAGACATACTTTAAGATGTCCATCAAGAGCTATTCCTCGACGGTCTTTATTACTGCTAGCCAACGGCACAAGATAAAATTGTTTTGTAAAGTTAGCCCCAGGAGTTATCGGACAACCCTCGCGCGTCTCCAAGCTCGCTACATGACGAGAGAACTGAGTGTTTACCATCGTTACTTCACAATGTTGAACAACAAATAACTGAAATTAAATAATTAAAATTAACCAAATAAATTACACCGTTAATTGATAATTTCTTCCCAGGACGTACCTTGATATTCTTCACGGCTTTCCGTGAGTTGTTTGTAATGATAACATTAGCCGCGATTTTTTCACCGTGGTAGTAAATTTCTCTGTCAAGCGTGACTTCGAGGTTGAGTTTTCCATTGGAGAAAGTGAAGCCCTTGGAGACCAGGGAGCTGGGAAGTCTCCGGCCGCGCGAAATTGGGGCGAATTGGAGCTTTTTTATAGCCAGAGCCACCGATGAACGTTTGTGACCTTTGTCGTCTTCGTTTTCACCCACGTAGACTTTTACAGTATACTCAACTCCGAGCGGCTTGCCCTGATCATCGTCCCCGGGCTGGAGTGTGACGGAGCTAGGCGAAGAGGGTGGGAAGACAAAGTTAAATGGGAAAGCGTTAGGGCCTAATTTTTTGAGCAAGCGGTTTTGGATTGGCGTCGTCTCTTGCTTTTCTTTCTTTATCGGTATTATTTGATCCTTTGCGATGACCATTTCCTTACTGAATTTGACGCCCATGACTTCATCTTCCTCACGACCATATCGGAATGTTGTAATGACCTGGAATTAATTAGTAATTTTATTATTTCTTCTTTAAATTGTCGGAGAAATTAATTTAAATATTTCTTCTTCAATTTCTTAAAGAAAAAATTAATATTAAAATTTCTTCTTTAAGTTCTTAAAAAAGAATTTTTAGAATTTCTTCTTTAAAATGTTAAAGAAGAAATTAATTAAATAATTTCCTCATTAAATTTTAAAAGAAAAAATTAATATTAAAATTTCTTCTTTAAATTTTTAAAGAAGAAATTAATTTTATAATTTTTTGATAAAATTTTAAAAGAAGAATTCAACATTAAAATTTTTTCTGTAAGTTCTTAAAAAGGAATTTTTAGAATTTCTTCTTTAGAATGTTAAAGAAGAAATTAATTAAATAATTTTATCATTAAATTTTAAAAGAAAAAATTAATATTAAAATTTCTTCTTTAAATTCTTAAAGAGATTAATTTGATTATTTCTTCTTTAAATTTTTGAAGAAGAAATAATAATAATTCAATCATTTTTTCGTTTAATTCTTAAAGAAGAAATTAATTAAAAAATTTCTTCTTTTAATTTTGAAAATTAATTTTAATAATGATCATATTTCTCAGTTTTATTAGTACAAAAATATATAAAATACTAATTATTAATTTGAGATTTAATATTTTTTTAAAAAGAAGAATAAAACTATATTTACCTGGCCATAAACCCTGCGTCCTTGAAGATAATCATTTTCAACCACAACGACGCCATCAATAGGGTCTACGAAGTCAAGATGATCAATGAAGTCTCTTTTTCCAAGGTAGACTGTGACCTTGCCTAAAAAAACCACTCAGGTATTTAGTATCAAGAAAAAAATATTAAAATTAATTCAAAAGAAGAAAGAAGAAAAGAGTTACCATTAGGGGTGGTTTTTTTGAAAACTTTAACAGCCACAACGTAGGCTAGTAGTAACACAGGAAACATTTGGCTAGCCGTAAATCAAAACTCCAAGTTGGTGTTTTACTTTTTATCCCGCCCAGAAGTGACAATTCGCAAACCTTCAACAACTCCTACATATAGTAGTTGGAAGGCTTCATCAAAGAATCCGTACAAATAAACAAATTAAATTACCATTATATAAAATAGTTTTTTAATAAGATTTTAAAATACGATCATCTTCTTAGCTCAGCGCACCACCTGACCCATTAAGTGGTCAGCTTTTCATTTTCTTCATTTCATTAAAAAAAAAAAAAATATTTTACAGTAAAAAAATAAAATATTTAATTAAAAAAAAATAAATATTTAATTTAAAAATAATAAAATAATTTTCAGTCTTAAGATTTATCTTTATTTCAATAATAATAAGTTTACATTGTATAGAGGTATTTTAATCCTTGTGAATGTTTTTTATTTTATTTTTTTCAAATGTGCAGTGTAACATTATCAAGGACTTGATGATGATTTAACTTAATTACAATTATTATTATTATTTAATTTTATTAATTTTTTTAGTTGTATTTATTCTATAAGTGTAAACCATTATAATTCTTTGAGTACACATTTAGCTTACAGTGTTAATTTACTAATTGAGTTTAAAATTAAATAAAAATAAACAAGTTAATAAAAATTTTATTTTTATTTTATTTATTAAGTTACGGTTTTATATTAAAGTTTTTAATGCTTAATTTTATGAAAACCCGAAAGAAGAAATATTAATAGCAAATAAATATTTTTTTAAAGAATTTATAAAAAATATTTACAATAATTAATATTTCTTATTTGCTGAAGAAATAATTTTATTATTTATAAAGCATTTAAAACTTTAATTAATAATCAAGCTTCATAAGTTTAAATATTAAATTTTATTTTATAAATCTAAACGTCCATTTCTTAAGTGTAATTTTTATTGACCACTTATGTTTTTAATTAATCGCCTAATTAATCACAACTTAATAAAAGCATTTTTTATTAATTAATTAATAAAAAAAAACAATTGTTACAAATTAATTTTTTATATTTTATTCTAAAATATTATTATACTTATTAATTTTTTTTTGTATTATTTATTAATAATAAATATAATTATCAACTATAAGCAATGAGATAAATCAGAAAAATAGAATTCTTATACTCGTCTCTATTTATTTTTTTTAAATTATTCCAGCACTATATCTTAATAATATGGCCAATAAACAAATTTAAGGTAGTTGTAAAAAATTTATAAATGGGAAGAAAAAAAAATTAAATTAATAAGGAAAAAAAATTTCCTATTGACAGTTTTTTTAAATTAAATTTAATAATTATAAGAGAGATTATTTTAAATAAGTAATTTTTACAGTAGGCACAATAACTGTATTTATTAATTATTATTTATAAATATTTATTAATTTATTGCATTTAAATAAACGGTCGGCTACCAGGGAACAAAAAATTAAATTCAACTATTTATTGATTTTTATTTATTCATACAATAATATTTTTATTTAAATGATTTATGATTGATGATTTTAAAGACAATTTAAATGTGGGGATGTTACAAATGATAATGATTAATAATTAAGATGATAGTGCCGTTGAGAGATGTTCGATTGTGAAAAATATGAACACATTTCTTAGTAGAAAAAGATTTTTTTTTTTTTATTACACAGTATTATCTAAATGCTTGTTATTATATATAATTATTAAATAATTAATTTAATTGAAGAATTTAATATTAATTATCGATACTTTTAATTACAACAAACACACAATTTTTATCTAATTTATTTATAAGGATTAGTTTGTTTCAGTGTATCAAAAAATTTTCAAATTAACTTATGACTATACTGAATTTTCCATTAAGAAAAAAAAAGTGATTTTCGGGAATTTTTTTTACAGGGAAAATAAAGGAATTTGAAGATCGGATTTTTTTTAATTTATTAAGGGTACATTAACGATTATTAGCCTAAATTTTTATCAAAAAATATTTAATTATTATAAAGTTATTAACAATCTCGAAGAGCACAAAAAAAATTTTGATTTTAAAGATTTTTTTAGCTGGGTTAAAAAAAAAAAAAAAAAACAGTAAAAATAATGAAAAAAAATTTTTTTGTGCTTTACGAGATTTTTAATAACTTTGGAATAGTTAAAAATTTTTTATAAAAATTTAGGGCAATAATCTTTAATGTACCCTTAATAAAATAAAAAAAAAAAACCCTATCTCTAAATTCCATTATTTTCCTTGACAAAAAAATTCCCGAAAATCACCTTTTTTTCTTCAAAATTTTCTAAATAAAAAAACTTAATTTTTTTTTAAAATTTACTAAGGGGCCTTACTTTTAATTTTTAATCTAAGTAATTAATATAATCAAATTCTTTTTTATACTTCGAATTAATAGTTTAAACAAAGAGCGGGTTAAAGTAGAAAAATTTAACTAAATTAATTAATTAATCAACTTCAACGTAAATACTATTAATTCTCAGTAATTTACAATTATATAAAAATTTTACTAAAGAATTTAATCATAAAAAAAAAACATTGTCTAGTATCACAAATAATTTAATAAAAAAAAAAAAAAATATTTGTGATTTTTTATTCCTAGGATTTAATTGTTAGCCAACAATCAATTGAATTTCAAATTTACAAGAATTTTATAATAGAAAAATAAGTTTTGAATAGAAGATATTTATATAAATAATAAAAAGTTAATACTTGCATACAAAAAATAGTTTTAGATTAAGTAGTTGATATAAAAAAAAATGAAATATTTAACAGTTTATTTTTCCTAATAAATTTTAACATGGTTCCCTGATACCACCGCGTTTTAAATTAAGACAGTATAAATATTGTTATTTTTTTTTTCTGTTTAATTATTTCTTGTTACTGGTACACAATTAATTTATTGATCGATCTTCGTTTATTTAAATTGTATTTAACTACAAGTCTACTATAAACTTACATAACTAATCATCCTCCGTTTATGCCGAGTATGGTATTTTTCTTAAATTATTATTCCTTAAATCTTCAAATTCAAAGTTGTATTCGTTACAAATTTCATTATTTGCTGATTTATTTATTTATAGAATTTAATAACTTTTTCATCCTGTTAACATTACTATCTCAGAGTAAACTTTAAGCAAATAATTTTATCCTCACGCAGTAAAAAATCTGCGATTTTTATTTCACGAAATAGTTGATCAATAAATCCCCATTGATCGTCGTTAAGGACAATTGATTCAATATTTCTTACCTAATTCTTCCTTTCAAAACTTGTTTTCATAAAAGTACAAGCTTCTATTTAAGACAGATCTGTAACAAAAATTGAATGTTAAAAAAAATGATCTATTAATAAAAAAATTGTAAATAAATAAATGAAAATACTTACAGCTTGGTGCAGCTGCAGACTCAAATCTTTTCTGAATTTGATCGTATGTAAATTTAACAAAAGCGTCGTATTGTTCTGAGAGTTTCATTGTTAATATCTGATCATACTCTTCGCGTATTTGAGTTTCTTGTTCTTTGAGCATTCTCTCGCAAATCAATCCAACCTATTGAAAAAAATCAGTCAGTAAATAAATAAATCTATATTATTAAATAATTAAATAATTATATATAACGATATTATTAATTATAATTAAGAAATTACCTTGTATCTTGTGAACTATTGACATTTTTAAAGATATAAGCTCATCCCGATGTTACACTCATCAAGAGCTCTCATTTGAATACCCACATCATTTTTTTATATATTTATATATATTATATATATGTATGTATAAAAAATATATCAAAATGCATATGGGTACTTAAATGAAAGCTCTTAATGAGTGTAACATCGGGAAGAGCTTATATCTTAAAAAATGTCAATAGTGAAAAAAGTACAGTGCAATTTAACATAATTGAGAAACGACCTTGTATCTTGTAAAGTATTGACATTTTTAAAGATATAAGCTCGTCTCAATGTTACACTCATCAAGAGCTTCCATTTGAATACCCACATCATTTTTTTATATATTTATATATATTATATATTTGTATATATAAAAAATATATGAAAATGCATATGGATACTCAAATGAAAGCTCTTGATCAGTGTAACATTGGGATAAGCTTATATCTTTAAAAATGTCAATAGTGAAAAAAGTACAGTGGAATTTAACATAATTAAGAAACGAGCTTGTATCTTGTGAAGTATTGACATTTTTAAAGATATAAGCTCATCCCGATGTTACACTCATCAAGAGCTCTCATTTGAATACCCACATCATTTTTTCATATATTTATATATATTATATATGTGTATATATGAAAAATATATGAAAATGCATGTGGGTACTCAAATGAAAGCTCTTGAAGAGTGTAACATCGAGATGAGCTTATATCTTTAAAAATGTCAATAATTAAGAACTGACTTTGCTATCTTGTCAACTAATGATATTTTTGAAGATATAAGCTCATCCCGATGATACACTCATCAAGACCTTTTATTTGAGTACCCACATGAATTTTGATATTTTTTTCATATATACATATATATATAATATATATAAATATATGAAAAATTGATGTGAGTACTTAAATGAAAGCTCTTGAAGAGTGTAACATCGGGATGAACTTATATCTTTAAAAACGTCAATAGTTAATAAAGTACAGTGCAATTTAACAAAAGTCATTATTTAATAAACCAAAATTTTATTTATTTATAGTTCACAAGTTACGGCTGTCACATAGTGACTGCGAGGTTGGTAGTAAATAAATAAATAAATAATTTAATCAATAAAAAAAAAAATAAATACATACTTGTCTAAATGTGAATAATGGTTTCTCCCTGCTGTTGGGACTGCAGTTGTTGTACGAGCTTGAACCACAACCAGATGGACTTGCTGGGCCCCCTTCCATGTCCGAAGAATCACAACCACTTGAATTACCTTGTGGGTTGAAATGCAACTGCTTACGTTTATGTAATCGGCAAATTTCTTCTCTAATGTTAGCAGCCATTTTCTCTGTAATTAATCAATCAACATTAATAATTTCTAAAAATTCCAAATGTCCTGTTTAATCATTTTTTTTTATCAGTAGTTTTATTACTGACAAAAATAATTATGTCTTCAGTTACGTCGTCAATTTTAATTAATTAACTCCAAAAAAATAATTAATTAATTTTTTTCTTTTTTTAGTATAAATAATTTTAAAGTACAAAAATTAACAAAGGAGAAAAATTCTACAAAAATATTCACTGTATAAAATTAATAATAAAAATATATTTTTGACGTCATTGTCGTGTCGCCATCTGAGGCCGTAAGTTAAAAAATAAATAAATAAAAAAAAAATAATAAACAGTCGACGTCCGTTAGAGTATTACCATATGATTAACGCGTGGGTGATGCCCTTCTTTTGTTCCCTACCACAGATAATAATAAATAATTAAATACAATGCTTGGAGAATTTAAAAGAGACACTGAATAATAAAATAAAAAAAAAACACAATATATATTATATGTAGACACTTATATATAGATATTAGATATATATTGAATAAAGACAATAAAATAGTAATGATTTAAAATAAATATGATATAGTATTAGAGAGAGCATATAGACAAGGGATAAAATGGCCGTTATAACCGATAACAATTACCAGGCGTCAATTTGTGCGTGACTTCGCCAAACGGTGATGGATTTTGATGGCTGGATGTCCGTTGGGTTGAACTGCCAGGTGATACGCACATTGGAGCACATCTTCGTCGCTTATTAGGACGACCGTGGCTGTGAACAGGATCAAATTCCAAGGATCTTTTTAGGGTGGCACAGGCCATGGCTGAAACTGATGACTGACACTAGTGCTGCTGGCGCTACTGCTATGAGTATCGAAACTGAGAACGACAATGTAATGCTGCTGATGTTCCTTCGTCACGTTTACTAAACTGGCACACACTAACACAAGGCGCTACTGGTGACACTATAGCGTTATTTTTTTTTTATTCTTTATTTTATTTTATTTTAATTATTTTACGGACAGTTAATTATCTAAATATCACAATTTTATATCAAACTGGTTAATTAGCTATTTTTTTAGGTATTTTTTTGTTTATGCTGTGAAGAAATTATGGTAATGATATAAATGTATCAAAACAAACAGTATGGCGGAATTTGTGCAGCAGCTCACAGAATACCAAACTGACTACAACTGCTTTTCAGAGATTTACACGCGACATCTTTTTTCCATGATGACCATGCAATATTTTTCACTAGTTGGAATAAATATCGCCTATTTTTGTCACTACCGCGCCACCTATACTTCAAGTGGGGAAATAATTGTAAAATAAAATTAAATTTGACAGGTTACAGCGCTGATTTATTTATTTTTTATTTTGATAAATAATTAGTGCAATTTTTTAGAGTTTTTTTAATTTAATAAATAATTTTATTTAAAATTTTTCTGGATTAGAATTTATAAATATACTCATGATATTTAAGTCAGCTGTCACTTGACCATTTTTTAATTTTATTTATATTATAACAAAAAAAATTTTTTTTAAATTGCATTTTTAATTTATTAAATTTTCTAAATGTCAATTTTTTTATCCAGTAATTTATTTTTTATAGAAAAATTATTAAAACTAATTTTTTCATAATCTCAGACAAGTTTAGAATTACACATAATATAGCTAAATGTCAAAGTCGATTACGCAGCCATATTTTTACAATTTAAATTTCCAATCTAATTATTTATTAAAATTTATTGTGGCTAAAAATAAAAATAAATATATTAATTAATAATTTCAAATTATAATAAAACAATCGATAAAAAAAAATATCGATAAATGCATCAATCGATTGAACAAAAAAAAAACTTGGAACAAATAGTAAGTGAAAATTACAAGTGATTGCGCCACCGTTATTTGCTTGTGTGTTATTTTCCAAGATGTATTACGGAGATTGGAGCACCTTCTGTTTTATTATCTCTGGAATATCAAAAAGGAATCCAATATTCGGTCATTCATAATCAGTGTTGACCGTGAAATAAGCTCTTTTATTTATAAATTGTTTACCAATGTTTAGTTTACTTAAAAACAAGTAAAATTATTACATAATTAATGGATATTATTATTTAGGCAACTAACAAGAGGTGTGTATTTATTAATAAATAAATTTTTTTACTTAGAATTATTTTTTAAGTGTGTACATGTTGTGTCTGACTTTCTATTTATTTAATAATTGTTATGCATTTTCATGTTGTTAATATTTTTGTGATATGTTTTTAGAAACAAGTGTTTGGTGTCAGGCTTTACTTGGTAAAAAGGTGAATTTACCGAAGGGATGATGATGGGTGATCAATTTCGCACTAAAGTTGAACAATATTCGCCAAAATCATCTCCAAGGGGTGCGCGATCGCCCGTTGTATCACGTCAGGATTCAACGGGAACTCTTAAAACAACAATATCCCTTGGGAAAAATCCTTCGATTGTTCACAGTGGACCTTTCTACTTGATGAAAGAACCTCCTGGTAATTTTCATTTTTTTTAATTTAATTATTTTAATTATCTTACTTTATTTTATGTTAAATATAAAATTTTTTGTTTATGATTATTGTTACAGGGGAGAGCGAACTTACTGGAGCTACTAATTTGATGAATTATTATAATCTTGAGCACTCTTATAGTAAATTCAGTGGTAAAAAATTAAAAGAACAACTATCATCATTTCTTCCAAATCTTCCTGGTACTATTGATACACCTGGGCATCAAGACAATAGGTATTCATTTTTTTTATTTTTAATTAATACATTAAATTTAACTAGCAACCTTGCAGTCACTATGTGAGCTATAAATAAATGAAATTTTGCTTTATTAAATTAATGGCTTTTGTCAAATTGCACTATACTTTTTTAACTATTGACGTTTTTAAAGATATAAACTCATCCCAATGTTATACTCATCAAGAGCTTTCATTTGAGTACCCACATGCATTTTTATATACTTTTCATTCATACATATATCAATACTAATAAATGGAGAGCCAGTTTTTTTGTCCGGTTATACTGCGTAAACTACTGAACCGATCGGAATAATACTTATACCATAAGATGCAGCGTGATTCGGAGAAGGTTTTAGTATATGATATGGTGGTGGTTACTTATCCGGAACCTATATTTTTTTGACTTAGAAATAATGAATTTTCATTGTAACTAAATTTATTCTATTCGATTGTCATTTGTTTAAAATAAATTTTTTAGTTCTATTGGTTATTTTTATATACTAGGCAGATTTCTTCACTTATGAGGCCTGCAATTTCTTTAACTGAAACTTACAATGCTCATTACAAATTTTTTTTTTTATTTATTTATTTATTTATTATTAATCAACATACGCCTATCGGCAATATACATAAAAGAAATTATTTAAAATTAAATAACATAAATTAAAGAAAATTAAATTATGATTTAAATTAAAGCAAAGAACGAGAAAAAGAAAACTTTGTGTAGTTTATGTGTACATAAGTAACTGTTTTTGTCAATTATTATTAATCTATTCGATTGTCATTTGTTTAAATTAAATTTTTTAGTTCTATTGGTTATTTTTATATACTAGGCAGATTTCTTCACTTATGAGGCCTGCAATTTCTTTAACTGAAACTTACAATGCTCATTACAAATTTTTTTTTTTATTTATTTATTTATTTATTATTAATCAACATACGCCTATCGGCAATATACATAAAAGAAATTATTTAAAATTAAATAACATAAATTAAAGAAAATTAAATTATGATTTAAATTAAAGCAAAGAACGAGAAAAAGAAAACTTTGTGTAGTTTATGTGTACATAAGTAACTGTTTTTGTCAATTATTATTAATTTTTGTAAGAAAGACACGGGAATGTTATAATGATTGCACATTGAAAGTTACAATCAATATTAGCTAAAATAATTGCATGGATAAAATGTGCATGCCAATTCGATAGAATGGGGAATCTGTGCAAGTCAAAACAATACTCTAATTAAATTTCAAGTCTACATTTAAAAATGCAATTCTATAAAGCGCCCAGCAGAGCGGGTGAGTAACAACTAGTATACTATATATAAATATATGTAAAATTGATGTGGGTACTCAAATGAAAGGTCTTGATGAGTGTAACATCGGGATGAGCTTATATCTTTGAAAATGCCAATAGTTTACAAGATAGCAAGCTCAGTTCTTAATTATTAACATTTTTTAAGATATAAGCTCATCCTGATGTCACACTCATCAAGAGCTTTCATATGAGTACCCACATGCAGTTTGATATATTTTTCATATATACATATATATATATATATATATATATATAATATATAATATGTATAAATATATGAAAAATTAATGTGGGTACTCAAATAAAAGGTCTTGACGAGTGTAACATCGGGATGAGCTTATATCTTTAAAAATGTCAATAGTTCACGAGATACAAGGTCATTTCTTAATTATGTATCTAGAGATAGAACATTTTCGAATGTAATTTAAATACTTATCATCATAAATTGACTATTGGTGAGAATGATATGAAACCATGAAAAGGCACAACTCTAGGTCAAGACTTTTCCAACGATGCCAAATTTAATCATAAAAACCCATTTTACCATATAAATACACTGGCCACAAAATTTTGCTTATTCTCTTAATAATAGAGATAATTTTCTTTTCATCTTTAATATTGTTTTAATAAAAATTATTTTTTTTTAGTTCATTAAGATCTGTCATTGAGAAACCACCAATTGGAGGAAAAGAATTACTTCCTCTAAATATCCACCAACTATCAGGATTTCGATTACATCCTGGACCAGTAACTATAATTTTTACTACCTCAATAATTATAATTATAATATATTTATTAATAAAAATGTATTTATTGCAGCTGCCGGAGCAATATCGACATGTTAATCAAACACCTCAAAGAAAACACAAGAACAAGCACAAGAAGCATAAACACAAGCCTGGAGACGTGCCAGCTGGACACGAGATAGCGACAACCGATATTGCTGGATCGGATACCCACGAAAAGAAGCACAAAAAACAGAAAAGGCACGACGAGGAGAAAGAAGCCAGGAAGAAGCGCAAGAAAGAAAAAAAAAGAAAAAAACAAAAGCACAGTCCTGAACACCCTGGTGGATTGACACCCTCGCAGCATTCCAACTCGTGATTGACAATTAGTTCTTTTTATACGATTAATTAATAAGCTGGCCAATTGTGGAGAATTTTTTGCTCATTTAAACAAACTAAACCAATTTCTTAAAAGTTAATATTAAAACCACATGTTCTCTGTTTAAACATAAATATTTTATTTATAATAGCAATTAATAATCGAATAAGTAGTTCAATGTTATGATTATCTTACCGTTATGATTTTTTGGAATTTTTGATCAGAGATATTTCATTCCAGAGATATCTAATGACGCGCAAAAAATTTCAGTTAGTAAAAAATCTTGACTGTGTCAAAAAGAATGAAAAAAAAAACCACGTGGTATGTTTTTGACAGCTTGAAACTATCATGTGTTGTTTATAATGCGAATCTGCTTTATTCCAAAGATTCTGCAATCATGTAAATATTTTTAATTACAATAATTACGATAATTATAAAATTACAGGCTTGGTAATTTTTACGTTTAAGAAAAATTCAAAAACATAATTATAATTTTATTATTTTAATTCGGTAGTATTTATAAAGTAGGCTTATAAATAGTAGGGTCTAATTCATTTTTTTTTTTTTTCGTCGTGTAATATTCTTTTTCAAACACATTGATATTAATATAACTTTGTATAAATATGAAATTTTATTATTAAACACTATTTCGTAAAAAATTATAAGTTGAACATTTTTTATCAATTTTTAATATGAAAATAAAGTTAGCAGACATCTGACAATTTTTAGGGTTTTTTTAATGAAAAAATATTTTTTTAATTCTAATTTAATTAATTAAAAAAAAAAATTTTTTTAGACGTCTGCTAATTTTATTATTATATTTTTAATTTAATAAATTATTAAGTTAAAAACTAGTTTATAAATTAAAACAATTTTTCTTATTTCACAATTTTCTGCCAACTTACAGAATCACATACTTTTATTTCTGCCTTACCATCTTACTTGCCAAAAAGAGGAGGAAGAAAAAAAAACTAACTTAAATTAATTTAAAAAAAATAACTGTCAATATTTATTTCAAATCAAAGTGCAATTTTTTTTAATGTTTCTTTTTATGACATTAAAATTAGCAGTAACTTGACAATTTTTTAATTCTATTTAACAAAAATATTTGCTCCAAAAAATTATTTTTAAAGAATTGCATTTTTTATTTTTGTTAATTTCTATATGTCAGTTTTTTTGCTATAATTTATTTGTTATAAAATTTTTAAAATTGTTAAATATATGCTGCATTCATTTTTATAGTTTTTTATAACACTAAAATATAATACTAAAGTTAGCCGACGATTTTAACTTTTTGATTTTTTTTTTAATAATTAAATTAGAACAAAAAAATATTTTCTAAAAATTGCACTTACAGTTTTTAAAGTTTTTTATAAGTTTAAATTTTTTTTTATCTTTTTGTGATCATTTCTTCCATAAAAAAAAATTCTAAAAATTTTAAATGTCATATAACTTAATTTTCATCACTAAAATTACGAGACATTTGACAATTTTTGATTTTTCAAAAATTGCACTTGGAATTTTTTAAATTTTCACACGTGAAATTTTTTTATTAAATTTATTTTATAATAATTTCATTGTTTTAAAATTCTAAAAAAAATTTCTAATGTCTGTGTCAACATCAGTGTCATTTCAATTTTACAGATATATAAATACATACAATTATTGGAGCATACATGTGCAAAGTGCAATACATAACACCGCATTGATAAAGAAATATATATACCCACATCGACATATGTTTACAATATCAATGACATTTGCAATTCACAATAATACATTCATAGAATCAGAATAAACTCACACTTTAATCCTCATGTACCCCACTTCATAAAATTCCTGAGCGCTGATTGGTCATTGCTCAATACAAATATAAACTGTAATGTTAAATCCACTCTCCAATTGCCTCTCATTCCAACCAAAGATCTTCACTTGCACTTGCTATGTACCGACAGCTCCAATACATACAATACATCGCTATGAGTAACAACAGTTAAAAAATACTCACCATCTACATCTTGAATATTTTTATTCGCCATACATACAGTAAAACTGCAATCCAGGCTCAGGAGGATTCAAGATTTATTGTTAGTTGAGTCACAACTTTCGGAGACCGACATCCGTCCAAACTTCACTGTCAGCTCAACCGTTATCAACAAACAACTCCAAACAAAGCGTCTGCTGATTCTTTTCTGAATAACTTTCTTTCATACTGCTCGGATTACTTTTTATGACAGGTAAGATTTTTACAAAATATTTTTCAGTGTTTATTATTAATATTTAATGGCAGTTAAATTAACTAACAGCTGACTATTTTTTGATTTTTTTTTAATAAATGTCTAAAAAATTATTTATATTTCTTTGTTAAAAAATTATGTCACTAAAATCAGCTGATGTTAAAATTTTTTTAGTTAATTAAATTAGAATTAAAAAAAATAATTTTAAAAATAGCACTTACAAATTTTCTAATTTTCTTTTTAATTAATTAATTTTTTTTTTCTTTAACCATTTATTTTTTTAACAAGAAAAATCATCAGATGTCTTCTAATTTAATTTTTATTAAAAAAGTATCATACAATTTATAAATTTACTGCTGACCCATTAACACAAATATAATAATTATAGGAAGAAGAAAGTTTGTTGACCTTGAGCAGCCAGGTTGGGTTGATAGTGTCCTAAGTATTTGATAAGCCTACCAAAAGCAGCAAAATGGCGAGCCTACACGTGGTAGGAACATTTATTTCGGTGCTGCTGCTGATCAGCACAGAAAAAAGCGCTTCTTTCTTCTTGGACTTTGGTGATGCTCGGGAAATCCTGAGCTTCTCTCGCGAGGTCGCGGTCGGTACTTTTGAGTCTTTGGAGTGGATTAGAAAAGACGAAAATAACACTGGTGAAGATGACTACACGTTTATCAAAAGAACGGAAAAGAAAATCCTCAAGCTGATGAAACAGAGCAACCAGCGTCTGGAGGACCTGCAGCGTCAGCTGGACCAGCGGGCAGGTGAAATAATTGATGAAGTAATTAAAAAAGTGCCTCAACGTGAGCGATTGAACCGTGACATGGATAGTTTAAATGAATTGCTAGGAAGAATTAATGATATTCATCAACAGTACATTGAGTATTACACGTATGAAGACAAGTATGAAGTTTACACGAGATTGGATTTTGCACGGAATTCTGTTTCGCTAGAGATGGGTGCTTTGCCGGATCTGTTGGCGTCTGTTCATAGGATAGTTATGAAAAAACATATATTGAATTCTTTTGCTGCAAATAGCCAGGTAAATATTTACTTTCATTTTTAATTAATTATCATTTAATTATTAATGATACTGGAGTTTATAGACTTTAGAAATTTTTTTATTATTTTATAGCAATTAAATTATTACTAGCAACCTTGCAGTCACTATATGACTGCCGTGATTTGTGAATTATAAATAAGTAAAATTTTGTTTTATTAAATAATGACTTTTGTTAAATTGCACTGTACTTTCTTAACTATTGACGTTTTTAAAGATATAAGCTCATCCTGATGTTACACTCATCAAGACCTTTTATTTGAGTACCCACATGCATTTTTGATATATTTTTCATATATACATATATATATAATATATATAAATATATGAAAAATTGATGTAGGTACTCAAATGAAAGGTCT